TGGTTCCAGCGAAGTGAGCATAACAGCGGAGACGTCCAATGATTTATTGCAAAATATCTATAATCAAATGTATCCAACGGGAAGTGGTGTAGCTCCCACAGGAATAGCTGTATCCCCACAATCGAATTATGGCAATAATTCCATGTGGATTCCGGTGGTGGAAATTAATACGGAAAATGAAGTCAATCCTGGACCCAAGGAGATCAACAACAATCAAATGGAAATTCCAAGTGTAGCCCCTGCTAGTTGTAATAATCCTGTGGAGAGTGGGACAGAATATCAAATTTTGGCCAGCAATATTTTAACCATTGACCCAATAGTCCCAGCGGTGGATGGGCCACCAATGCAAATGCCAGATCCCCTGGCTTTGTATACTCCTCCTGTGCAGCAGCAGCAATCAACTCAAGATGATCTCCAGGATGTTTTCATTATCGACGAATATTTCGATGAACCCGATGAGATTTGTAATTTATCTCCGGATTGTGAATTTTTAGATGCCTAGGAAAGAAGGGATGTGTTGCAGGCAACATGTCTACAAATTACATTTATTACATATTTATATATATGCATATTTATGTAAATTATGGAATTCAAATTTAAAAAAAATCGGCAAATAATAATTTTTATTACAAAAGAAAATCTTTAAAATTTAAGGTTATAAACATTGAAGTGAGGTTATGTCCAATATAACTGACAATTTCATATCCAAACCAGAAAAATCACACACCACTTACTAATTGAGTACATTTTGAAAATTCACTATTAAATTAATATAGAAATCAAAAATGTTAAAAATTAAAAAAAAAAAAACAGTCTGCATTTGAGATTAAAAAAAAAGGAAAAATTCAACAACAACAAAATGTTAGGCCATATGCCCTAAATTTCATATCCAAATCAGAAAAATCATACGCCACTTACGAATTTAATTCACTGTAAAAAGCTGATTATAGCTTATGTCCGACATATGGAGAATTTTAAATAAAGCCAAAAATAATCATAATAATAATAAATAAATTGATATAAATAATAAATAAATAAATATATATATATATATATATATATATATATATATATATATATATATATATATATATATATATATATATATATATATATATATATATATATATATATATATATATTAATAAAAAAATAAAATGTAAAATTTAAAAACATATATTTGGCATTTAAAAGATTCCCAACTCAAACAGAAATATTTAAAAAAGCGAGGTTATGTTGTGCCCCAAAACTGATAATTTTTTATTCAATAAATAAAAATTCTTCAAGCCATATAGTCTAAACTGAAAATATCAGCAGCAAAATATATAAAAAAGAATATTGAAAACTTAAATCTATAATTTTGGAATTCAGAAAAAAATTACATTCCATATAAATATTACATTCATTAAATTTATAAAAAAAAAATAAATAAATATTTAACATTTAAAAGACACACAACTAAAATATTTGGAAAGAGCGAGGTCATGTTGTGCCCCGAAGCTGATAATTTTTTATTCAATAAATGAAAATTCTTCAAGCCATATAGTCTAAAATAAAAATATCAGTAGCAAAATAAAAAAAAAGAATATTCAAAACTTAAATCTATAATTTTGGAATTCAGAAAAAAATTACATTCCATTTAAATATTACATTTATTAAATTTATAAAAAAATTAAATAAATATTTAACATTTAAAAGACACACAATTAAAATATTTGGAAAGAGCAAGGTCATGTTGTGCCCCAAAGCTGATAATTTTTTATTCAATAAATGAGAATTCTAAATGAGAATAGTAGAGATTAATATAAAAAATATTGAAAACTATAAAATCTACAATATTGAAATTACGAAAAAAATAAATACATTCACTATAAATATTACATTCAGTAAATTAAAAAATATAACTAAAATTATTTTTAATGTAAAAAAATATTAAATAAAAAATAAATATTAAATAAAATATTATCAATATTTCAAGTTCTTAAAAATTGGATTTTTAATGTAATCATATTTGTTTTTGTTTTTTTTTTTTTTTTTGTAGATGGGTGTTCTATATTTTTTATATTTTTTCTGCCGTTTAAAAAAAATTAAATCTATAATTTTAGAATTCCAAAAAAAAAAAAAAACATTCACTACAAATATTACATTCAGTTCAAATTTAAAACTATAGCTAGAATTATTTTTAATATAAAAACATATTAAATAAAAAATAAATATAAAATAAACTATTAAAATATTAATATAAAAAATTATCAATAGTTCAAGTTCTTAAAAATTGAATTTTTAATGTCACTAGAGTTTTTTTTTTTTTGGATGGGAGTTATATTTTTCATAAGTTTTCTGTGTTTTTAAAAAAATAAATCGATAATTTTGGAATTCAGAAAAAATAAATACATTCACTATAAATATTACATTCAGTAAATAAAAATTATAACTAGAATTATTTTATACATAAAAAATATTAATTAAAATATTAATATAAAAATTTTCAATATTTCAAGTTAAAAAATGGATTTAAAAATGTTCATGTTTTCATTTGTTTAGATGGCAGTTTTCTCTTTTAGAATTTAACAATTATGACTGTTTTACCTTCTTGAATATAATTTTTGTTATGTTTTTTTTTTTCAATAATTTTATTACGCTTTTTATATTTAAAAGTTAAAAAAAAATTTATGCTTTGAAAATACTTTGAGTAAATTCTATAATTATAACATTCAGTAAATTAAAAAATATAACTAGAATTATTTTTAATATAAAAAATATATATTAAATAATAATATAAAAAAATTATCAATATTTCAAGTTCTTAAAAATTGGATTTAAAATGTAATCAAATTGGAGTTTTTTTTTTTTTAGATGGGAGTTATACATTTTTTATAATTTTTCTGCCGTTTTCCAAAATTAAATCTATAATTTTGGAATTCCGAAAAAATACTTACATTCAATATAAATATTACATTCGGTAAATTGAAAAAATATTTCAAGAATTATTTTTAATATAAAAAAATATTAAATAAAATGCAAAATATTAATATAAAAAATTATCAACATTTTAAGTTCTTAAAAATTGGATTTTGAATATAACCATACTTGAATTTTTATATTTTATTTTATTATAAAATCTTTTTCTGTCGTTTTAAACAAATATGACTGTTGTAGCTTTAAACCATTCTTGTTGTTTTTAATTATCTTATGCGCTTTTTTTATATTTAAAAGTCAAAAAATAATTTTTTGAAAATAAAATAATATTTTAATTTTTGAAAATAAAATAATACTTATTTTTTTTTAAATAAAATATTATTTTTTTAATAAAATATTATTATATATTTTTTAAATGATAATAATATTTCATTTTTTGAAATAAAATAATATTTTATTTTTTGAAAATAAAATAATATTTTATTTTTTGAAAATAAATTAATGTTTATTTTTTTGAAAATAAAATAATATTTATTTTTTTGAAAATAAAATAATATTTATTTTTTTTGAAAATAAAATAATATTTATTTTTTTTTTTTGAAAATAAAAAAAAATATTTAATTTCATAAAAATAAAATAGTATTTTATTATTATTTTTTAAAATAAAATAATATTTTATTATTATTTTTTTTTATTTTTTAAATAAAATAATATTTAGTTTTTTGAAAATAAAATAATATTAATTGTTTTGAAAAAAAAAAATATTTTTTGAAAACAAAATATGTTTTTTATTTTTTAAAAATAAAATATTTTATTTTTAAAAAATAAAATAATATTTTATTTCTTGAAAACAAAATAATTTTTAATTTTTAAAAATAAAATAATATTTAATTAAAAAAAAGTAAAAAAATATTTAATTTGTTGAAAATAAAATTATATTTAATTTTTTGAAAATGAAATAATATTTACTTTTTTGAAAATAAAATAATATTTTTTATTTTTTAAAACTAAAATAAAATTTAGTTTTTGAAAATTAAATAATATTTAATTGTTTTTTGAAAGAATAAAATAATATTATTTTTATAAATAAAATATTATTTAGTTTTTTTTTTTAATATAAAATATTATTATATTTTTTTAAAAATAAAAAAAATATTTCAATTTTTTGATAATAAAATAATATTTAATTTTTTGAAAATAAAGTATTTTATTTTTTGTTTAAAAATAAATAAAAATAAAATATATTTTTTTATTTTATTTTTTAAAGTTTATTTATATTATTTTATTTTTTGAAAATAAAATAATATTTAAGTTTTTTAAAAGTAATTGAATTTTATTGAAAATAAAATATTTTATTTTTTTAAAAAATAACACAATTTAAATAAATTGTAAAAAATAAAATAAATAAAATGAAATATTATTTTATTTAAAAAAAAATAAAATATTTTAAATCTAAAAAATAAATACTTTGTTTTCAAAAAATAAAATATTTTATTTTCAAAAAAATAAATGTTACATTATTTAGAAAAATATAAATATTATTTTATTTTTAAAAAAACAAAAAAACATTTTCTCTGGTTTTTCGACCTTTTTCGATAGTTAATAAAAACAATTATTTGAGCTTGAGGTCAAACCTCAAGCTCAAATAATTGTTTTTATTAAAAACAAAAAAATATTTTGTTTTTTTTTTTAAATATTATTTATTTCTTGAAACTTAAAATAATTAATATAAAATACTTTTACCATAAAAATTAGCTTTATATAACCTTGACAATGAATTATTATTATTTTTTCTTTTAATCTTTATTTTGAGTAGTTTTTTTTTTTAATTTTTTATTATTATTTACGAATTATGTTTGCTTTCTTTTTATTGAATATTATTTCTGTTATGTTTTCTTTGCAATTATATTAATAAAAATCTCTTCTATGTTAAATATCGAAAAAAAATTATATTTTATTTAAAAAAATGAAATAACTAAGGAAAATATTTAAAAATAAATTAACATAAAAAATAATTATTAATTTTAAATAAGAAATTTTCTCTTTATTAATATTATTTCCATTTTTCTTTCTCTTTCCAGTTAAATACAATATACGCAAGCGAACTTCCAAGGCCCCCAGTACTTCGGCTGCTGCATCATCCATGGCGGCTAGTCTTTCCATTAGCCTATTCAATTCGGCTGGAAACACTGAGGATATCACCATCGATGATAGTCAAATAAAAATAGAGAGTGACAGCTCAACAATGGACACAGATAGTTTTCCAACATTTTCGGCGGAGAATAGCCAGAGTGGTGAGGCCATCAATTTACGTTCCACCACCAGTGTGGAACCGCAACAACAATCATCGGCCAGCGGCAGCAGCACCACCAGCAGCAGCAATGTTGTCAACAACACCGCCCTCATTGCCCTCCAACAGCTGGCCTCCATATCGTCCACACACAGTATTGAACGTTTGCTACCCCAACTGCCCAAGGATCTGTTGGCCCACAACGAGACGTTAGTATATGCCGGACGTGCAGGTAAACGTTTGCCGCGTCAAAGTTCCAAGCGCCTGTCACAGTTCGAAACGAATCGATGTCCCCTCTGTTCGAGGGTCTATCGTTCGCAGGCCTTCCTTAACGAACACATGCGCAAGGAACATTCGGTTTTAATTTAAAAAGAAAAAAACATTTGAGCCTTAACCCCTTTTTTATATATCTCGATGAGGTATATAAGGAATTATTTCCAAAAAAAAAAAAAACAAGAAAAAATTGAAAATTACAAAAAAATAATATTTAAGTAATGCAAAACAAAAAAAAACAAAATTAAGAATTATTTCATATATAATAAATTATAAAAAGCTTAAGAATTTTCTGAAAAATAAACAAGTGAAAGAAAAATAATTAAAAAAAAAACAAATTGATTTTATTATTGAAAAAATTAAAAAAAAATTATATATTTTTGAAATGAAATGTTGCTCCATTGGAGATCAAAAAAAAAATTAAAAATAGAACGTATTTTTCGCTATTAATAATATTGTTGTGTATTTTTTATATCCCCTACGAATTTTGTGACCCCTGGAGCTTTGAAATATAGTCAGAAACTCGTGTATTTAATCCAGGATGGTATTACTATACTGCCCTCCATATTATTTTACCTCACGATTTGAAGCATTTTGAAAATTTCAAACACAATTTCCAACCAAATTATTTGTGTGTTGGGAACCAATTTCCCAGAGAATATAAACCCTTTGCCAGATTTCCCAATCTCAATATATTCTGAAAGTTTCAGACGAATTATTTATAAATTGCCTATATCAGCCTGCCAAAAATCGGTTATCGTAGCAGAAAATTTTATATTCTTGCAGTTCTGGAACAGACCATATGTCTAGTATTTCTTTAGGCCCCATATTACCGTAAATCTCGATTTACGGCAAACGTTTCCAATCTGAGTCCATTATTTGAAAATTGATTGATTTTCAGTATTTTGAAAATTTTAAAGAATTTTTCAAAAAAAAAAATGCTTGAAATTTAACTTTTGGTTTCTCAAAAGATTTGAAAACCCTCCCACCCAAAAATGTCCTATATGGGGTCCATTTAATATTTAAAACCTTATGTTTCGTGACCTCCTGATATTCGGCATTTTTACGTTTCCACTCCCAATTTCCAATCAAAGTGACCGTAATTTGACAAAGAAAATGTCAGATTTTCCATATTTTGAAGGTCCTGACCAAACTTGTCAGCCCAAGGAACCTGAATAGTTGATATTTTGAAATATTTATTAAAAAAATTCATCTTCACAAATGCTTCCATAGTCCTAGTAACATTTTCGAACCAATTTGACTGTAACTTATTATTTGGAATTCCATCAAACACATCCGTGCAAAAAAAAAATATTCAATGAGGATCCATGTTTTCACATAAGACTTGAGTCTCGAGACTTCTGCCCCAATTTTCCATGAGTAATAGTTGAAAATTTAATATTTTGGTCCAATTTTCCAACCCGTAATAGCTCCAGCTCGACAATTAGGACTCTTAATTTATGGAACACATGCCGTTCCAAAATTTCGGGGTCGTAAATATTTTTTAAGATTTTAGCTTAAAACCCAGATCGCAAATTTTGAATTTGTAGTCAAGGTGCGATTTTAGGTGGCCAAATTTTTAACCGAAGGAACCTGAATAATTGATATTTTCAAATATTTATTAAAACAAATACATCCCCACAAAAAAATTTCCAAGTGGGTCCAAATTTAGGCATAGGCCCCATTGACTGACTACAGGGATTTCCATGGTCCTAGTAAAATTGTCAAGACAAAGTGAGTGTAATTTCCCAGATCGCAAATCGCAAATTTCGAATTCGTGGGCAAAGTCCAATTGTAGGTGTTCTAAAAGACCTGCCAAAAGTTTTCCTGCCCAGGTGGCAATAATTAGTTATTTTGGATTCTGAATTGTTTTTACACATCCCCTTCGGAAAATGTTCAAAGCAGGTCCAGGTTTTGTCATAAGACCCTAAATTTTCTGGGTCTTGAGGGTCCATGGGAAAGAACTTTCAGCCGAAGTGGATGTAATTAGATATTTTAATTGATGGGACACATCCCTGCAAATATTTATAAAGTAGGTCTACGTTTTGCCCTACATAGCAACAGGGTCAGATTTTAAGTGTTTGAGGCCCTGGACCCACTGTCTTTGCCGAAATCATTGAAAATTAAATTTTAAATAAAAATTTAAATATTTGAAAATATTAAATAAAAACGCTCATCTATGCGAAAATGTTCAATCTAGGTCCATTTTTTGATTTAGCGACCGATTTAAGGCATTTCTTAAGGTCTAAAATAAAATTTCCCGCCAAAAATATCTGTAACTTTTTTTTATGTCGCAATCTTAATTGATAGAATACGTCCTCTTCAATATAGAATCGAGGAAGTTCCACTGAAGTTCTGTTAATTAAAGGTCCCGACTGAATTTGGCGGCCAAAGTAACTGAAAACTTCAAATTTGAAGCCTAAATTAACAGAACACACACTCAATTCGAAAAAAGGACTCAATGCAGGCCCACATTTTTTAATAATCTATTATAAGCATTTTAACTGCCCTAACTCCACAATTTCATCGAAATAACTACAATTTCAGATTTGTAACGTGTATTTTTTTATAAGTTTCGACTTGATTAGGAAATTTATTACCAACATCAAGTTTTTCAGTTAAGTTGACTTTAGCGACTTTTTTACTTGTTGTGTGGATTTTGTGAATCTGTCGCTGTCAAAAACAATATTCGATTTCAAGACCACGAATTTTGCCTTCAGCAAAAATATCGCCCCTTCCAACCATAGATTTTGTCCAAAATTAAATATCCGATTTTGAGTTTTCAAGATAAAGTCGAAAATAGATTAGTAGCCAAATTCGACTTAAAAAAATACACAAATAAGTAAAAAACAGCTAATTTCGGCCGGACCGAACTTTAAATAACCTCCGCCATTTGGAAAGAACTTGAAAATTTATAAAAAAAATTAAAAAAATTCCGCTTAAATGATGACCTTTATGCGGGGACTATAAGAAAATATACGAAGGGGCCTGCATCACTAATTTTTTGTCATAGGCTGTAGTAGCCATTGAGATCTTCAAATACGAAATTGGAAACAATTCCGTCAAATAATGAAATAAAGGGAGGTACCGTTATATCGGGGCATTACGAAGGCCTGGACCTGCATAGACAATTTGCTGTCACAGACTGTAGTTCCCATTACGAACTCTAAATACGAAATTTGAAACAACTCCGGTAAATAATGTGGCTAAATTGGTCAAAATATAGAATATGGGGGTACCGTTGTATGTGGACTATACAATATCGTGGACAATTCTCTTCCAGGGGGTAAAGTGCTTAGAAAGAACTTCTGGTGTGGATTTTTAGACAATTTGGAAAATGTAGCTAAAATCATTAAAATATCGAATATAAGGGGTACCGTTATATGGGGGCTATACGATATCTTGGACATATATAGGCAATACTCTCCCAGGGGGTAAGTGCTCAGAAGGAACTCATTTTGTAAATTTGCAGAAAATTTCGTTGAAAAATTTGGCTACAATCATCAAAATACCGAATATCGGGGGTACCATTATATGGGGGCTATACGATAACGTGGGTCTTCGAACTTGACCGGGCTGCAGACAAAAGACGTTTTAACTCTAGCGTGATTACAACAGACGGATAGACGGACGGACAGGGCAAAATCGTCTTAGAATTTTACGCTGATCAATAATATTTGTACTTTCTTGGGTCTCAAATTATTATTTCGATGAGTTACAAACGGAATGATTATGTATGGTGGAGGGTATAAAAATAGGTTAATCGTTGCATACTTTTCGACGCATATAATGCGAATTAAAGATATTGAAAAACCTAAAATTTAAAAAAAGTCGACTAATCGTTTTTCTGAAAGTCGACTTACACGTCCCTATTTTGCTCGGATCGAAAAGTCGACCTAAGGTGAGAATACATAAAACGCTTTTTTGACTGGATTAATTCATCGGCTGTCTTCTTCGAAAAAGAACAAAGAAGCGTCGAGCCAAAATCACACTAAGTCACCCTAAAACCCCTTTGCTCTTTTACGAAGAGGTCAGCCGTTAACTTAAGCTGGTCAAAAAAGCGTTTTATATAGTCTCAGCTTTATGCTTTCGACAGAACTAGGTTGTAAACTTGTAAATATAAAATTCAAATCCAAATGGGTTGAAAATCGACTTCATGTCTGAAAGCGAAAAATTCATCTCCGGGTGAAACTTGTCAGTTTGCAAATTTAGATAAAAAATGAATTAGAAAAAAATCATCTTCCGAGACTCGTGTTCTCAAATTCTAGGTAAGTAATTGCCGATCCATTTTCTTGTATACGAAATATTCTTAGATTGTAAAAATATTTGTAGAAATTAATTACGTTTTTTAAATGTTTTTGTATCATAATGAAATGGAATTTTATTAAAAAATAATTTCGTCATATTTTTATTATATTTATATAAGTTAAAATTATATTTTGAAAATTTTATAAATTATAAAATATGTCGTCATATTTATATTATATTTGTGTAAGTTAAACAAATTAAATATTTCCCAAATTAATAAAATTTCGAATTTCTTCAAAAAAAAAAATTAATTTAAAAAAATTTTACTTATTTGGTTAATTGCTTGGCTTAAGGTCATTCATTAAAAAACTATGTTTTTCATTTTTGAATTTTTCCTTTTTTATTCATCCAATATTTCGATTTCCTCCGGAAATCATCTTCAGGGATCTGTTTTACAAAAACACAAATTATAAACTGATTTTAACAATATATAACACAATAAATAACATAAATTTTTAAAGTAAAAGCTCGTCTATTGAGTTTAAATGTTTACATTTTTCAAAAAAAAAAAATAATTTTTCAAAAAAAAATTAATAAAAAAGTAAATTTAAAACAAATATTAAATTTAAAAAAACAAAAAAAATTATTTAAAAAAAATTAAATTTAAGAAAAAATAATTTAAAAAATAACTTAATTTTTTTAAAAAAAATTAATTTTTTTTTCAAATATCAATTTTTTTTTAATAATTAAAATAATATTTTATAGAAAATAGTTCCTTTCCCTTTTTCCCTAAACTCAGTATTTTAATGTGTAATGTGTTTTGAGTATTTCACATATTTTTTTTATTAATTAATTTTAACCACAAACTCCAAAATGTTTTATGTCAATAATATACAACATAGTTTAATATAATTTAGGATCTGTTTCTCTAT